AATTTGGAAGATGACTACATACCAACAAGCTGTAAAGGTTTACCCCTGAGAGATCAGCGTACAGGGGCAAATTGATTCTAACAGAATCTATGCAGAGAGGACCACCTGGGCTGGAGGGATCCCAAGATGTCATCCACAGTGTACCCTGCCCATCCCCATGGATGTTTCCATGAGGAGGCTCTAAAGAACCCTCACAATTAGGACCTCATGAGAACAAGGGTCGTTGAGAATCTGCTACTTCGGCCGGGCGCGGTGGCTCACGCCTGTAATCCCAGCACTTTGGGAAGCTGAGGTGGGTGGATCACGAGGTCAAGAGATAGAGACCATCCTGGCCAACATGGTGAAACCCCGTCTCTACTAAAAAATACAAAAGGGCGTGGTGGCGCGTGCCTGTAGTCCCAGCTACTCGGGAGGCTGAGGCAGGAAAATTGCTTGAACACAGGAGGCGGAGATTGCAGTGAGCTGAGATTGCGCCATTGCACTTTAGCCTGGTGCCTGGCGACAGAGTGAAACTCTGTCTCAAAAAAAAAAAAAAAGGAATCTGCTCCTTCAAGGACACCAACACGAAAGTGTAACTGCAACCTTTGGGGAAGGCCTTTTGTTACTCACCACCCACATACACTCCTTCACTTCTTTCTTTTTTCAATCCCAAGGAAGTGCAAGGCAAGCAGGGTAGGGGGCAGAAAACCAAGGAAGGGCCAAACCACCCACATCCTGCCCACTGCAGGTTGCCAAGGCTAAAGCTGCCCAGGAGCTACTGGGGGAAGGAAAGAATGCTTTCCTCAAGGAGATACTGAAGTTCTGTTAAGACCGGTCCATTGGGATTGCCTATGACAATGAATCCGTTCATCAATACCTAAAACTTACAGGAAAAAGTAGCTATCTGTCCACAGAATCACCCAGAGGCAGGGAAGGGAGAGTCAACAGAACAGGTTAGGAAGACACAGATGTGAGAAAATAAAGCCGTTATGATTTTACCCTGCAGACTTGGAAAGCTCCAGAAACAATTCATGAGAAAAGTGCAACCCACGGAGGGCAGCGGGGCAGAAAAACACATGGTGAGGCAATGGCAAAAGCGCCCTGCGAACACTGAAGTGGGTGGCCTGCTGCTTGTGAGATGCAGATGATTAGCCATAGGAATGCCGAGGGGCAGGGCTAGAGAGCTACATTTTACACAGAGGAAATGGAGCCTCGGAAAATATGTAACTGCCTAAAACACGAGTGAGTGGCCCAGCCAGGGCTCAAACCCATCATACAGCCACTTGGGCAGGAAGCAGTCTCGAATGGGGGTCTCCTTCCAACAGGCTGTTTGGGCTTCACTGGTTCTGAGACACTGTAATCCACCACCCACTGAGCGAGGCAGAGGCTACTGTCAACTTCCCATAACGATGCTGTCCCTTTCGTTAGTATAAAAACATGGCATTAGAAATTTCTAGAAGACAAAGCCACAGTTTGAAGTTATCCTCCTTGGTACTACTATCTGGAGGAAGAATGGATGGTTACAGCCCCAAGGACAATCGTGAACTATGAGGTAACCTTAAAGATCAAAGTGATCTGCAAAACTACAAAAGACTTATGTCCATCCAGGTGTGGTGGCTCACGCCTATAATCCCAGCACTCTGGGAGGCCAAGGTGGGGATCACCTGAGATCTGGAGTTCCAGACCAGCCTGGCCAACATGGCGAAACTCCATCTCTACTAAAAATACAAAAATTAGCCAGGCACGGTGGCATGTGCCTATAATCCCAGCTACTCGGGAGGCTGAGGCAGGAGAATCACTTGAACCCAGGAGACGGAAGTTTCAATGAACCGAGATCACGCCACTGCACTCCAGGGCCAGATGTGGTAGCTCACACCTGTAATCCCAGCACTTTGGGAGACTGAAGTGGGGAGATCACTTGACGTCAGTAGTTTGGAACCAATCTGGTCAATGTGGTGAAACCCTGTCTCAATTAAAAATACAAAAATTAGCCAGGCGTGGTGGTATATGCCTGTAGTCCCAGCTCCTCAGGAGGCTGAGGCAGGAGAATCTCTTGAACCTGGGAGGTGAAGGGTGCACTGAGCCAAGACTGGGCCACTGCACTCCAGCCTGAGCAACAGAGGAAAACTGTGTCTCAAAAAAAAAAAAGACTGATGTCCCTAAAAGTGTGTGTTTTTTTTTTTTCTTTAGTTGCTATATCTGTGCTGGAATGTCTATCTCTAGCTTTCCTTTAAATGAGAAAAGAAACCATTGTTTCAGATGTACTGTACATGCAGCCAAACTCTAAACTCAGAAGCCAGAATCCATTATGGAGAATCGAACTTGGTCTTCAGAGTCCTGTGTGCTTCATTCTAAATCATCTGTCCTTATTTCTGTAGGCCGAGGAAAGTTCCTGAAGGTGGTTGCCCAGTTGTAGAGTGCCTTTCAGCCCCATGACTACATTCCCCAGATGGGATTTGAACTTAGGAATCCCTACATGTTGGCGAGAACAGGATGCTCTAACAGAAATGGACTTCCAGACACAGCTTTGATCACTGGGAAATCAGAGAGGTGTTTTTTTTTTTTTTTTTTTTTTTTCCCCTAATTTCTTTGCTGTTTATTTTCTCTTTCTTCCCACCCTCATTCCCCCGCCAAGGGGAGAAAAAAATTAGCCAGGCAAGAGTACATCCAATTCCCTTTCTTAATTAGAAGCAAAACATTTGGAAAGCTGTGGCACAATTGTTCGACAAACATTTGCAAGTTATCTCCAAGCACAGAGCCAACATGTTAAGGAAAGCAACGGGGGTCACAGAACACGTTCCAGGCTAATGGAGAGGGCGATCCAGATTTGCACATAGGTCTGTCAGTCACGGCTGGAGGCGCCTAATCCCCTCACTCAGAGCTGGCCGTGCACAGAGAAAGGCTCACGGGAAACAACAAACCCAAGGTCTCCCAGATGTCCACAGCCCAGCTACGAAATCTATCATCCCAAACTAACACTCCACGGCACCTAATTGGTTTTAGGGAGGTGTTCAAATAAACAATCATTTTCTGGTATTGGAGATTGGATTTCATACAACACAGCCTAGGCGCAAGCTTAACGGGAGAGAGAGAAAGAACAGAGTTCTTTTTCCAAAAGTAAAATTTACTTCTAATCCACTAATATGTATGCAAATAGTTTCTTCCAGACTCTGCGATCTGAGAAAGAAAGTAGCCAGCTTGATCATAATGATTCTCTGACTTCCAGGGTGCTTGTTATTAGATGTCGTAATGGTTGGCCACGGCAAATCCTAGGGTCTCTTTCCCTAGAAAGTGTTAAATAAGAACATGTTGTGTCTTCACCCATTTGTGTTGATATAAAGGAATACCTGAGGCTGGGTAACTTATAAAGAAAAGAGATTTATTTGGCCCATGGTTCTGAAGCCGGTACAAGAAGCATGGCGTCAACATGTGCTTCTGATGAGAGCCTCAGGAAGCTTCCACTCATGGGGGAAGGCAAAGGGGAGATGGCATGTGCAGAGAGAGGTCAACAGCAAGAGAGGAAGCATGAGACAGGGAAGGAGAGAGAGAGAGAGAGGAAGAGGAGGTGTAGGCTCTTTTCAACAACCAACTCTTGCTGGAACTAAGAGTGAGAACTTGCTCCCAGGAGAATGGTACCAAGACATTCCTGAGGGATCTACCCTCCCACCAGTCCTGGGCTCCAACAGTGAAATCTGGGGATCACATTTCAGCATGAGATTTGGCAGAAGCAAACAACCCACATCCAAACCATAGCAGGTTCACCCGTGGGAAGCGCTCAATGGATGATGGCTATGACAGCATCACTAACTCACAAGACGAACCAAGCATTTCATCTTTACACAGCTGCAGTTGTGAAAAACGTATTCCTTAGACTGAGTTAGCATCTATTTCCCTGTACCTTTCACTCTTGGGTCCTGTTTCCAGCCTGGGAGTGAACATAGGAGAAACCCAAACTCTTGTTCCCATGGTGGTCTGTATTATTCCATTCTCATGCTGCTAATAAAGGCATATCCAAGGCTGGGTAATTTATTTAAAAAAGAGGTTGAATTGACTCAAAGTTTCACATGGCTGGGGAGGCCTCAGGAAACTTACAATCATGGGAGAAGGTGGAACAAATGCGGCCTTCTTCATAGGTAGCAGGAGAGAGACATGCTGAGTAAAGAGGGAAAAGCCCCTTATAAAATCATCAGATCTCATTAGAACTCACACACTACCATGAGAACAGCAGCATGGGGGCAATCACCCCCACGATTCAATCATCTCCCTCTGAGTCCCTCCCATGACATGTGAGGATTATGGGAACTGTCATTCAAGATGAGATTTGGGTGGGGATACAGCCAAGCCATATCAGTGGTCCTTCCAAGACATAAAGCCGTTTATTATCACCTGTGTCTTCTTTTGTCCAGCCTGAAAGGGTGAATCATCTTGACCTGAAAGGTCAAGCCACTGCTCCCATGGCTTAGTTTCCGGTCTGGCCTGCTAAGGTTCTTGTCTGAAAGCCCCAGGGAGTGGCGCTCTCTTCTATCTTGCAGCTCCTTGGATACCTGGAGAGGAATTTGGAGGGTGCACTCCTCCAGGTGTGGACAAGCACCTCCAGATGAAGTGGCTTGTTCCGAGAGGAATGACTTCACAAGGATGGCTTAGACGCCCAGGCTATCTTGCACCTCGCAGGGAGGAGGAAGCAGCGACTATTTCTTCAATCAATATATGACTGAATGAAACATTAAGCCTACTGATCTAAAAGCCACATTCGTTTTCCCACTACTGAACATACTTTTATCATTTCTTTGAAGGATCTAATTTCTGGATTCTACTTAGGTCCCTGTTTCTACCCATTTCACCTCGTTTGAGTTAACAGGAATTCTAGTCTGAGATCCTTTGATTTAGTGATTCAGTCATCCCAGAAATTACCTGTCCCTCCCAGGCTCATGTCAACTGTAGATTCTCATGTCTCTCTAAGTACACTCATCTAAGCAATTAATTAGATTATATTTGGCTTATAATCATATTACAAGTTTTTAAAATGTCATTAATAGAAGGAGCCATCCTTTTCATTTGGAAAGCGTGAACAGAAAGTTACTGCATTCTACATGACTTTATGACATTTACAAAGAGTTATCTTCACCTTGAGAAGAAACTGGATAAAAATAAGTGTCTGCCATATTATAAGTTTTTTTTTTTTTTTTAAGTAGGTAAAATATCCTCTGCTAATCATTCCTGGATGGAGGGTGTCATAAAATGAATTGTTTCTCCCCCAAATTTATATGTGGATGTCCCAACTCCGAATAACTCAGAATGTGAGCATATTTGGAAACTGAGTGGTTTGCAGGTATAATTAGTTAAGTTAGAATGAGATCATCAAGGGGTAGGGTGGCCCCAATCCAATATTACCAGCGTCCTTATAAAAAGGGGGAAATGTGAACACAGACTTAGACTTAAAATGATCTTTGACTATGTTCCCCTCTGGATCTTGATGCTGTTTTCCAAATACCTGAATTCTGTTGTGCCCTCAGAGCCACTTGGAACCCTGCTTTAAGTTCTTGGTTATGATAACTCATCCTCATGCATACATTTTAACTGTCTTAAGCAAAGTGAAACAAGAGCATCTTTAAGGCCTTCACAGTCCCTCTCTAAAGAGAAGATGATGTCAAAAGATGAAGGGAGAAGAAGCCATCTACAAACCAAGGTGACAGCCCTGAAACAGATCTTTCCCTCAGAGCCCTCAGAACCCTCAGAAAGAACCAGCCCTGTGGCCACCTTGATTTCAGATTCCTGGCCTCCAGAACTGTGCAGGAATCAACTTCTGTTCTTACGGCCACCCAGTTTGTGGCCATTTGTTCCATAAGCCCCAAGAAACTAATACGAAAGGAAAGGGGGCAGATGGCCAGTCCCACCTCTCTGCTCAGCAGGGAGCCATGCAGAGTCCTTCTCTAGCTCAGGTAGGAACAAAAGTAACACTAAGAGCGAGTGAAGGTGAGTCATGCTCCGCCACGCCCCTCTGGGATTTTGAGCATCCAGGACACCGAAGAACAGCCTATGACAATTAACAATCCTATGAACAACTCAACAGTACACTGAATGCATTTCAGGATTTTCCAGCGGCCTCTGGGTAGATCCCAAACCATCTTGGGAGGTAAGTGGTACAGAAGTTATTATTTCCATTTTACAGAAGAGAAATTATACTCAGGGCCGGGCATGGTGGCTCAAGCCTGTAATCCCAGCACTTTGGGAGGCCGAGGCGGGCGGATCACGAGGTCAAGAGATTGAGACCATCCTGGCCAACATAGTGAAACCCTGTCTCTACTAAAAATACAAAAATTAGCTGGGTGTGGTGGCATGCGCCTGTAGTCCCAGCTACTCGGGAGGCTGAGGCAGGAGAATTGCTTGAACCCGGGAGGCGGAGGTTGCAGTGAGCCAAGATTGTGCCACTGCACTCCAGCCTGGCGCCTGGCGACAAAATGAGACTCTGTCTCAAAAAAAAAAAAAAAAAAAAAAAAGAAAGAAAGAAAGAAAAAGAAATTATACTCAGATCAGAAAGCGGCTCAAGGAAATGAAGCTAGACAGTGGTTAGCTCCAAAGGAGAGCCCAGAGACAATGACTCCCTCTCCATGTTAAGAGGCTTACACCACCCGTGCTCCTCCGTGCTGTGCTGTCCCCAAATTCAATCCTGTAAATTCATGCCAGGCCCTCTGCTCCCTCTGGGCCTCTCCACATCCTTAAGGGGGCGGGACTCTGGGGAAGGCAGGTGAGACCTGGGCACAGGCACACAGGCTTCCTTCCCATTGATAACGAGCACTCCAAAGCCAGAAAACAAGTGACTTCTGTGACCTCCCTCAGTTTACATTAAGAGGGAAGGTCACTAACAATTGTCTTGGATGATATGACCTACAGACAATCATAATAAAAGCAGTACCACTGCGGGCTAGAAAAAGTAGGTATGGGAGAAACTGCCCATGGTAAAGTGGTCTTTGACTCTTTCCCCTCCGGATGTTGAAATTGTCTTCCAAATGACTGAATTTTGGTGTGTCCCCAGGGTCACGTGGAACCCTGGTTTAAGTTCTTGGGATGACCCGTCCTCATGTATACATTTGTAGCTGTCTTGAGCAAAGCGAAACAAGAGCATCTTTAAGGCCTTCCCCAGTACCTCCCTAATTCTCCGTGTGCCTCTCCTCCCTCCTTTGCTGAGCCTTTGTGGCTCAGGGCACCCTCAAAGCATCCTTCTACAGGAGCTCCCTGTCTGTCCCGCCACCGTGGACTTATTACATGGCAGATCCTACACTGGGGCTGTGGAGCTCAGCAAGACTTTGCCCCCAAAGAGCCCATGCTCTTGTAAGGGAAAGGTCATTATGGAACAGGGTTGGGGGTGCAGTGTAGGGGGAGCCAGAGTGCGGGGGACACAAGGAGAGTTGAATGATGGACACCAGGCAGGCATGGGGTGGGATGAGAGATGTTTCCCCAGCAAAAGATGGTCGTGGAGCTGGGTGCTAAAGGGCGGGCAGAAGCCGGACACGTGAAAAGAAAAGGACAGAGGAGGAAAGGAAGGGGGGGCATGCTGGTCGGGATGTGGCTGCGTCCGGGCAAGTCAGAGCACAGGGTCCTGCCTGAGCAGTTCCCAGGTTATCAGGGTGACTGCAGGTGAAGGACAAGACGGTAGGGTCTTGGAGAAGAGGAGGAAGACATGACTTTAGGGCATTTACAAAGAGTTCTCTTCATCTTGAGAAGAAACTGAATAAAAATAAATGTCTGCCATATTATGTGTTTTTTTTTTTTTTTTTTTTTAAAAGCAGGCAAAATATCCTCTACCTATTCTTCCATGGATGGAGGGTGTTAGATTGAATTGTCTCTCCCCCAAATTAGTATGGGGATATACCAGCTCCCAATAACTCAGAATGTGAGCTGATTTAGAAATTGGGTGGTTTGCAGGTATAATTAGTTACCTTAGAGTGACACCATCATGGGGTAGAATGGACCCCCAATCCAATATGACCAATGTCCTTAGAAAAAGGGGAAATCTGGGCCGGGCATGGTGGCTCATGCCAGTTATCTCAGCACTTTGGGAGGCTGAGGCAGGTGGATAACCTGAGGTCAAGAGTTCGAGACCAGCCTGGCCAACATGGTAAAACCTTGTCTCTATTAAAAATACAAAAAAACTTAGCTGGGCATGGTGGCGCACGCCTATAGTCCCAGCTACTCAGGAGGCTGAGGCACAAGAATCAATTGAACTCAGGAGGCAGAGGTTGCAGGGAACTGAGATGGCGCCATTACACCCAGCCTGGGCGACAGAGTGAAACTCTGTCTCGAAAACAAAAAGGGCGGGGGGATGTGAAGAGATTTTTTGTCGGAAAAAATCTGAAAAGACTGCACACAGCACGGTGTTGGAGGTCAACACAATAAAATGTAGAGGCATATCTTCGTTTTAAGGACAACTCAAAGGAATGAATTTAAAAGATCAAGTTCAACTCAAAAAGGACAGTCCTGGTGATGTTTGCACCTGAGAAACTCAGTATCTCCCTCAGGCTGAGGCAAAAGGGACTGCAGAGCCAGACCTCACAAATGAGCCCCTCCTCGTGAGGCAGGGATCACAGGGCCGTGGGATGTGACCGCACTCTGGAATTCTCCATCCAAAGTCGTGGCATTCCCACTCCACTGACTGCACAGGCCTCTTCCCTGGGTCCATTCCCCTGAGGGGGACCAAGCCTTTGGTGTACACTGAAGGTCCCAGCAGGTCCACGTGCTGGCAAGCAGTTCCCCTCATGTGCAAATTGCAGCTGGAGACAAGAAAAGAATGGGACTGGCTGGGGCTGTTTCTCCCTGGGCCACACATCCAGCAAAACTCCAGGGAAGCTGAGAATTTGAACCTGGTTTCCCAGGTCCCTATGAAGATGTCTTTGTCAGAGTGGGAGACCATATGAAAAAGAAGACTCATATATGTACTGTATATTACATACACACACACTATACATCTACTATACACACATACTGTACACATACTATCTACATACACACACTACACACATACAATATATACATTCTCTTTTTATATCTCTATATGGGTCGATACGGGGATACACCTATATCTACATATAGATATGTGAATGCAATCTGTTAATTTGATTCATGGCTTAAAGTTTTTTTGACATCTGACATGCAAGACTCCATTTGTCCTTCTGCGCCCAGCTCTGCAAATATCGGGGGGGGGGGTGGTCTGATGGGCCCACGCTCTTAGCTTCGTGTGGCCGATGCACAACAACAGAGAGAAATAGGTGTCAACTCTCACAGTAACTTTTCTCCTGGGAACTGTTTTGCTTACCACATGGTAGGCCCGTGGTCAGGCATTCTCACCAGGGTGAGAAGTGACTGAGGTTGAAACAGAAAATGGGGACAGGAAGCAGAGGAAATAAGGAGCCAACACTTCCAACATTAAACTTTTTTTTTTTTTTTTTGGCTCTGTCGACCAGGCTGGAATGCAGTGGCGCGATCACAGCTCACTGCAGCCTCAACCTCCTGGGCTCACGCGATCCTCCCACCTCAGCCTCCCAAGTAGCTGGGACCACAGGCACACACCACTGTGCCCAGCTAATTTTGTTATTTTCTGCAGAGGCAAGGTCTGTTACCCTGTCTGGTCTCAAACTCCTGAACTCAAGCAGTCTGCTTACTCTCGGCCTCCCAAAGTGCTGGGATTACAGGCATGACCCACTGTGCCTGGTCCTAAACTTTCAAAGGCCCGAAACCCATACAAAGGAAAAGCTGGGAGAGGGCAGGAAGAGGTGAGCCCAAAAGCATCACCTCAGCGCCTGCCCCAAGTCGAAATGGAAGAAAAATCGACAATTACCATGAAAACTCTCTGTGGAAAACTACTTTCACTGTGATCAGGGTTAAAGAGAAATCCTAGGCCACCCAACTTTGACCTTGAGGCATGAGTCTGCTCACTCCCATCTCTCTCACCCAGAGTTCCAGAAGCCAAATTTTAGGGTAAGTATCCAAGTAGCAGGCTCTGGAGTAAACCGTCTCGGTAGCCTGTCTCTTCCATTTCCTTCAGCGGCCTTTCCAGTCATTGGTTCTGTGCATCAAGCTCTCCAAACTCATCTGGCACCGCAGCCAGGCACAAACCCTGCAATCTTTAAAGTGGCACACATACACAGACTGAGAAATGTTCCCACGCTGCATATGTTCGTAAAGCAGCCCCATCCAAGCCATCCGTCCTCCCACCTCCCTCTGAGCCACAAAGTACTTTCATGAGCTCCATTTCAGTTCTGAGATCACCAACACTTTATATCATTGCTCAGAGTCATCGGGTGGAGAACAGGCTTCTTTTCCATTAAACCTTGCTCAGTAATCCCAAATAGGGGACACTGCAGAGCTGGAGCTCAGAGGTGAGTGGTAAATTCTAATAAGAAAACGCAGAAACATGCCGGATCATTCATGCTGCATCAGTTCCACTTCTCGCCACAGTGGCACTATGTTTTGACTTTCTGGACTGAACACTGAGAATTTTCTAGCTCTTCAAAAAATACAGTGCTGTTTCTTGCCGCTAAAATGGAAATCTGCAGAAAGCGACCAAGTGCAGATCCTTGAACTTGGTAATGAATGGATGGGATTCTAGGTGAGAAAAGGAAGGGAAGAGAAAAACACCAAGTCTCCATATTCAGAAAAATTTTTTCAATGCTAAAATTGCACTCAATTTAAAATAAAAGCACAAAAAACATAAAATTCCCTTTTATACACAAGCCAGTGATATGGTTTGGATTTGTGTCCCCAACCAAATCTCATGTCAAACTGTAATCCCCAGTGTTGGAGAAGGGGTCTAGTGGGAGGTGACTGGATCATGAGGGTTCCCCCTTGCTGCTGTCACGATAGTGAATATGTTCTCACGAAATATGGTTGTTTAAAAGTGTGCAGCACTTCCCCTTCACGCTCTGTCTCCTGTTTCACCATATGGAGATATGTCTGCTTCCCTTTTTGCCTTCTGCCATGGCTTAAGGTTTCCTGAGGCCTCCCCAGCCATGCTACCTGTACAGCCTGCAGAACTGTGAACCAATTAAATCTCTTTTCTGTAAAACTACTCATTCTCAGGTAGATCTTTACAGCAATGTGAGAATGGACTAATATACAAAATTGGTACCAGAGGTGGGGACATTGCTAAAGATGCCAGAAAATGTGAAACTGACTTACTTCATAGAGACTTGTTAAATTGCTATGACCAAAATGCTGACAGTGACATGGACAATGAAGTCCAGGCTGAAGTAGTCTTAGATGGAGGAACATCTTGGGAACTGGAGTAAAGGTCACTTGCTATGCTTGAGCAAAGAGACTGGTGACATTGCATCCCTGCTTTAGGGACCTGTGGAACTGTGAACTTGAAAGTGATAAATGAGGGTATCTGGCAGAAAAAATTTCTAAGCAGCGAGGCATTACAGATGTGGCCTGAATGCTTCCGACAGCATATGGTCATATGTGTGAGTAAAATGAAGATCTGAACTGGAACTTATATTTAAAAGGGAGGCAGAGCATAAAAGTTTACAAATTTTACAGCCTGACCATGTGGTAGTAAACAAAAATCCATTTTTCTGGGGGAAAATTCAAGCCAGCTGCAGAAATGTGCATAAGTAAAAAGGACATGAATGTTAATAGCCAAGACAATAGGAAAAATGCCTCAAAGGCATTTCAGAGACCTTTGTGGAAGCCCATCCCATTACAGGCCTGGAGGCCTAGGAGGGAAGAATGGTTTTGCAGGCAGGACCCAGGACCCTGTTGCCCTGCACAATGTTGAGACACTCCTCCCTGCATCCCAGCCATCCAGCTTCAGCTATGGCTAAAAGAGTAAAGAGCCCTAGATACATCTCAGGCTGCACTCCCAGAGGGTGCAAGCCATAAGCCTTGGTGGCTTCCACATGGTGGTAAGCTTCTGGGTGCTCAGAAGGCAAGAGTTGAGGCTTGGGAGCCTCAACCTGGATTTCAGAGGATGTATGGAAATGCCTGGATGTCCTGGTAGAAGTCTGCTGCAGGGGTGGAGCCCCTCACGGAGAACCTCAACTAGGCAGTGCAGAAGACAGTGTGGGTTTTCAGCTCCTACACAGAGCTCTCACTAGGGTACTGTCTAGTAGAGCTGTGAGAAGAGGGCCACTGTCCTTCAGATCCCAGAATGGTAGAACCACTGACAACTTGCACTATGTGCCTGGAAAAGCTATAGGTACTCGATATGAGCTTGGAAAAGCAGCCATGAGGCTGCACCCTGCAGAGTCAAAGGGGTGGAGATGTCCAAGGCCTTGAGAGTCCACCCCTTGCATCAGTGTGGCCTGGATGTGAGACATGGAGTTAGAGATTATTTTGGAGCTCTAATATTTAGTGACTGCCCTGCTAGGTTTTGGACTTGCCCCTTTGTTTTGGCTGATTTCTCCCTTTTGGAATGGGAGTATTTAGCCAATGCCTGTACCACCACTGTATCTTAGAAGTAACTGACTGGGTTTGATTTTACAGGTTCATAGATGGAAGTGACTTGCCTTGTCCCAGATGAGAGTCTGTACTGTGGACTTCTGAGTTAAAGCTGGAATGAGTTAAGACTTTGGGAGACTGTTGGGAAGGCATGGTTTTATTTTGAAATGTGAGAAGGACACGAGATTTGGGTGGGGCCAGGGATGAAATAATATGGTTTGGATTTGTGTCCCAACCCAAATCTCATGTCAAACTGTAATCCCCAATGTTGGAGGAGGGTCCTGTTGGGAGGTGACTGGATCATGAGGGTGGACTTTCCCCTTGCTGTTGTCATGATAGTGAATAAGTTCTCATAAAATCTGGTTGTTTACAAGTGTGTAGCACCCCTCCTTTCACTTTCTTCCTCCTCCTCTGGCCATGTAAGATATGCCTCCTTCCTCTGCACCTGCCACTATGATTGCAAGTTTTCTAAGGCTTCCACAGCCGTGATTCCTGTACAGCCTGTGGAACTGTGAGCCAATTAAACCTCTTTTCCTTACAAATCACCCAGTCTCAGGTAGTTCTTTGTAGTAATGTGAGAATGGACTTATACAGCTGGATTTCCTTCAGGGAAGGGTTTACTAAAACCTGATTCTTTCTAGGCTAGT